CACAGGAGTTACGCTGGCTCACCTACCTGCTAACCGACCTTGGAGAGCAGCTCGTTCTCCTCCAGTCCTGTACGTAGACAACAAGGCCATGCTGGCCTTGTGTCGAGAGCAGCGACCGGAGCACAGAACGAAGCACATTGCTCTCCGCTACTTTCTTGCTCGTGAGCTACAGCAGCGTGGACAGTTGCGACTTGCGTACGTGGCCTCTGAGGCCAACACTGCTGATGTCTTCACCAAGGCACTTGCGCCTTGTGATCATCAGCGTTGTTGCACGCAGTTGGGTCTTGTGCCTGTTTTGCCTCACTTGCTCTCCTCTTGACCTTGCTTGTACCTTCGCCTATATATACTCTTGCTCTTGCTTGCTTGACTCTTGTATATCTCTATATATGATCTTGCATGTGAACTGGCCTTCTGGCCTTTGAACTTGTGCTCGGAATGCGTGGTGACTTTGTGATCCACCCTGAGCTTTGCTTTGCTTTGCTTGACTGGTCTTGTGACCCCTTGTTCTCCCCCACTTTGCCTATGGGGGTGTGTCAGAACATATAGCTTACTTGTTTCTGTAGGCTATAGTGGGGTATCCCATAGGGGGTACAACACAATTAGGGTTTTCTATTTGTATTCACTTCACTTCATAGTCATCCATTCTCGTTCACACTTTCTCAGGCGCGCGCGCGGAGTGCGCGTAATACCATACGTGGACGATCTACTATTCCTCTGCAACTGCGAGGCGCAAGCCTGTTCGACGTGCGTCGAAGTTCTCCACGACTTGAAGGCGGCAGGATTCGTGATAAATTCTAAGAAATCACACCTGCATCCCGCACACCACTTGCGCTTTTTGGGGATGGAGCTTGACACGGAACGAGGGATGTTCCTGGTCGGAAAGGATCGGCGCGAACAACTACTGCAGGAGCTCCACCTACTTATAAAAAAAGGGCAATCGGGTCGTCAAGTGCCGATTCGCAAGATAGCCCGGATCACTGGATTTCTCAGCTCCATGTCGCTCGCGCTGGGCACGACGGCGCGGGCCTTCAGCCATGAGCTGCTCCACTTGATCGACTCCGCATGGTCATGGAACTCAAAGGTTTTATTGTTACCAGAAGCGACCGAGGAGCTGCTGTTTTGGACAATGCACTTTGATCGTTTCAATGGCGCCCCATTCCACCAGAGTCAGCGTTTTGATGCAGTGATACACGTCGACGCGAGCGCGCACAGTTGGGGTGCCACCTTGGCCAAGTTCCCAAGTACATCATGCGAGGCAAGCGAGTGCATGACACAAGGGCTTCTCCCCACATCTAGTATGCGGCGAGAGCTCGAGGGAGTGCTCTGGGCACTGCGGACGTTCGCAACCCAAATCGTGGGCGCTCACGTCCTCGTCCGGGTGGACAACCAGGCAGTCATGTTTATCTTGCGCAAGGGGGGATCCCGTCAGGCGGATCTTACGTCGACATGCCAAGCGATCATCCAGTTCTGCCTCGGCAACACAACACGCCTCGCGATCGAATGGATTCCGAGGGAGCTCAACGCCCATGCGGATGACCTATCCAAGATGCAAGATTTTGACGACTACTCCCTACATGTACCTTGGTTTCGCCTCTTGGAACGACGCTGGGGGCCTCACACAATTGATCTCTTTGCTAACGTTCAGAACAATCACGTTCAGCGCTTCTGCTCCAAGATACCGCACCCCGACGCATTCGCCGTCGACGCATTTTCCATCTCGTGGAAAGGCGAGCGATGCTTTGCCTTCCCGCCTCCACACTTAATTCCCGCTACACTCCGCCACGCGGAACTGACGCAGACAGAACTCACGCTCGTCGTTCCCCAGTGGACCGGAGCGTCATGGTGGCCGCTTCTTCAACCGTCCACTCAATCGTGGGCTCCAGCAGTAGTCGAGCACCTTTCCCTTGCCCAAGGCAGTCAATGCCTTCGGGCAGGTTCACACACAGCTGCATTTTCTGGTCTCGGATTGCCTCATAGCCCAATCATTGCTTTGCGTGTAAACTATGCAGTCTAATAACAATTTCTCAATGTGTCATTTCAGGACTTTTGGCCAAACTAAAGCAACAATTGCTGCACGTAATTAGCCACGCTCGCGCACCATCTACAATCGAGACGTACCAACCTTATTGGCAGAGATTTCGCACCTTCTGTACCCAAGTTAAGCTCGAGTTCCTCCCGGCAACCGACCTGACGCTAGCGCTGTATCTCATCCATGCGCTCAACAACAAAGCAACTCTCTCCGCGATCAACCTCACGTGTTCGGCAGTAGCCTTTGCCCACCGCATGACAGGCGAAACCTCCCCTACCGCCGGCCCACTCACCCTGCAAGTGCGGGATTTCGCTAAGAGACATGGTCCCCGCCCTACAAGAACCAAAGAGCCCATATCTCTCCATCAAGTGCACGACATGGCTCGTCCCTTCCTCGAATCATCAATTCCTGCGGAATACCAGAAAGGATTGATTTCTCTTCTCATGTTTTCGGCATTCTTGCGCTACTCCGACCTCGTCTCGCTCCAATGGAATGACGTACAGTTCGAGGAGAAGGCAATGTGGCTGCTCATTCCGCACTCCAAGACGGACCAGGAGGGGAGGGGAGTCTGGATCCCCGTGGCGGCAATTCCAGGCCCATACTGCCCGGTGAGGTGCACACGCGCATTCATACACATCGAAGGCCTCACAAAGGTGCCCCATGGACCGCTGATAAGGGTTTTCCCAAAGAACTCACAAGCCACACCGAACGACAAATCGCCATCCTACGTTACGATCAGAAACTGGTGCCTCGCAGCCGGCAGGCAAGCTGGACTGGATGTCGCGCACATCGGAACCCACTCATTCCGCAAAGGCGCAGGCACTGCAGCGGCGAGCCTCGAAGTTCCTGACCGGCTCTTCAAACGCATGGGCCGATGGCGCAGCGACAGCGCGAAGGAGATGTACGTTACAACCGCGCAGGATCAGCTCATCTCCCTCTCTACGCAATTGCAGGATCCTTCGACGGCTCCCTCGCCCGCTACGCATCAGCTATCCATCGAACGCCACCGGCAGCCCCGACTACACTTGCCTCAGAAGACCCATATGAAATGATAACGCTGCCTTTGCCAGTCAGCCTAAGTACACTTTCACAATATGATAATTTTTGAAAGTGTAATGAAATGTAACACTTTCTAAAATTTTGTATTGTGAAAAGGGGTACGTGGCCAACACAGCAAAGGTAGCGCCGAAGCGCTACTCACCCTCTTTTGCCTACAAAAGAGGGACGTGGGGACATTCGTCCCCAGGGCCTGTGCTAGGTTTTGGGGCATCCTGAGGCCTCAGGGCAACTTTCCAGAATCTGAAAAAATGCCCTGATTTGTCAGGGCAACTTTTCGGAGGCTTCCTGTAATTTCAGGGCTTCTACAAAAAACCATCCTGGCCAGTCAGGGCAAAAATGTAATCGTTCAGGGTTCATAATAGTTAGTCGGCGAGACAGGTTGAAGCTGCAAATATGCCTGCACGGGGGAGGATTCGATCTGAAGACCTTATCTCTCGGAGGTAGCTTTCTACTGCCTAGGCCATTTCTGGATGTCTAGATGGGTTGATTCAGCGGTTACAAACAATTTTGCGACGGGACTCCCCCCTCAACCCCCCCCCCCTCCCCCCCACCAAAAAACGCGTCAGGGCAGGCCTCGGCATTCATCCTGACGCTACAGAGAAGAACACTACAGCCATTCTGAATGTTCAGGGTATTTCATATAAAAACATCCTGAGGCCTCAGGGTTAAAATTTACACTATTCTGAAATGACAGGGTAAATTTAAAACTACATCCTGAATTCAGGGTAATCAGGATTTTTTGCCCTGATAACGTGGGGCCTGTTCGTCCCCACCCACGTTTTCATTTTCAAAATTGTAGTTCTAATTTCCCACCCGCCCACCCATTTGTGTATGCTGTTATGTAGACATATATAAGACGAGAACGATGTACTACAACCCATATGAAATGATAACGCTGCCTTTGCCAGTCAGCCTAAGTACACTTTCACAATGTCTGTAATTTGATCACTATGGCCTCCGCAAGGGACTCTGAATCTGCAGGCACATACGGAACTGGTAATAGTGCCGGTATTCTTAATTAAGTGCACAAGGGCTGAGTCATGATACCATCCGTATCATGATTGCCAGCATAGGTTCCCTCTGTACACAGAAGCCCACTGTAGTTTAACCCTCCATACAATACAAAGCAGCTGAACTGCCCACTAAAAACGTCAAAACCCAGCCGCCTCACCCTCCCATCCCACCCTCCCAAACGTAAAAAACCAGCCGCCTCACCCTCCCACCCTCCCAAACGTAAAAACCCAGCCGCCTCACCCTCCCACCCTCCCAAACGTCAAAACCCAGCCGCCTCACCTCAGCCTTTCCCTGTACAATACTGCTATTATCAACCAAACCCACCCTCCCACTTGAGTGCAGCTCCGAGGCAGCTCGCGTGGATCAAAACTCCAGCAGAGCTGGAAATTACCGGTAGGCTCAATGTCCCACTGAATGAATGCCTACAATACACGTGTGTTTTGAGTCGACTCAAAACACACTACAGAAAGGACCCCCTACTGTATATAAGCCCACCCACCCTCCCACTGAGTGCAGTTCCAAGGCAGCTCGCCTGGATCAAAACTGCGGCACTGTAGCAGACCGCCTGCCCGAGGCAAGAGTGAGTGTTGCTACTGCTGTAGCATACCCTCCAAGATATGGCCCGGCATGGCTCGGTCTGGCATGGTGTGGATTGGTTTGGCTCGGATTGGCTTGGTGTGGCTTGGTTAGTGAAACGGCTGCAACTGCTACGGATTACAGGGACTGACCCTGTTGCCTTTACCTGCTGCCCTTGCTGCAATCTTTCACTCATGCCCCTGCATCCTTTTCCCTATGCCCCTGCTACAACATCTTGCTACTGCACTTGCTGGAGTCTCAGCGTCCCTGCTACAGTTTTAGGACCTGACTACACTGCTGCATGCCCTGCCAGCCACAACAGCTACATGCAGACGATCCCTGTAACCTGGTTACCAGTGGGTTCGCCAGGCAGGGAGGGCGAGAGCAAGTGGGGGCAGCGCACGGCCGGGTCTAACGATCGAATGGCCGTCTGGTTCAGCCACGGATGCTCCAGCACCTCGAACGAGCTCAGCCGTTGATCCGGGTCCACCACCAGCATCCGACGGACCAGATCCATCGCCTCTGCCGGCACCCCTCCCCACGCCGGATGATCAAAATCCAAAGGAACGGTTGGGATTCGCGCAGTGAGCATCGTGCAGAGAGTCATCCCCATGCTCCAAACATCAGCCTTAAAGCCATACTTCCCAGTTTCAGCTCCCCCTGCCGCCTCCGCCAATTCAGGTCTCCTGCTCTCGCGTCGCATCAGTTCAGACAATCTCGTGATTTCAGGTGCCATGTATACGCGCGTGCCCGCCCCCATGTCTTGCCGCTGGGCGGACAACCCTCCGCGCATAAGCGCTGCTACCCCAAAATCGGCAATCTTGACCCCGAGAATTTGCCGCTCTGAGCCAGGATGATGTGCTGGGGCACAAGTGGAGAGACTATGGGCTAGTAATTTCGACGCATCCACTCGGCTGCTGCTGCTGCTGCAGCAGCTGCTTGCGCTAATGCCCCCATAATTGCTCGTATTTTCAAGGGTGGTTGCGATGTTAACCCCGCTGCTGCAGCGGCGGTTTGCTCGCTGTGCGTTGGGAGGGGAAGGGGATCGCCTGGATCGAACCGGAGAGGAGGGCTCCGATATAACGTCTCTTGGATATAAGGAGCCCTTGCGATCGTCGCGCGCAGGACTGCTGTGAGCCGATATGGCCGAATCGCCGTCTGGGAAAGCGCACGTCTCACCACCGCTGCTAGAACCGCTGCTGCTGCTTCTTTCCCACTTGCCGCTGCCGCAACCGCTGTTGCTGCTACAATCGCTGCCGCCGCTACAACCGCTATCGCTGTTACCGCCACTGCTGCTGCTACAGCCGCTGCCGTCGCTCGTCACAGCCTGGTTGGTGCGGACAGCGAAAGCCCGCACCGCATTTCCCGGCACGCGCCTCTTGAACCCCTCCCCCGAGACTCTCTCCCTTCCGAACCTTCCGCCCTCCCGTCCGAACCTCTCGCTCTCCCCAAACCCCTTCTCCCCCCTCTCCCCCGAGAACCTCCCGCGCGCCATTCCCTCGCGCAATTCCGCTCGCATTTCCCCCACCGGCGCTTCACATTCTTCCGCCGCTGACGTCATCCCCTGCGGCGTCCGCGTGGACGGCGCCAGTGGCGGCGGCGGCGGGCGCACGAGCAGCACGTTGTCGGGTTTGATGTCGCGATGCATGACGCCGCACGCGTGGCAGAACGCGACAGCCGATGCGAGCTGCCGGAACACTGTAGCGGCGAGCGGCGCGTCCAGCGGACCGCGGCGCATGAGCTCCGTTAAGAGATCCCCACCCGACGCGAGCTCCATAACGAGGTGCGCTTCGGCGGAGCCTACTACCACGTCGACGAGTCGAACCACGTTCGGATGTCCGCCGACAGTCTTTAACGCGGATACCTCAGTACAGACCTCATGCACCTGCGCATGCGGAGGAGCGTGTCGCGCGCCAGATGCGCCGCCTCTCGCGGCGGGAACCCCGGCGGGAACAGCGCCGGAGGGGACGGAGGGCCGTCGATGGTGTGGAATGGATTTGCACGCGACGCGGAGGGACGTGCGGACGTCCTCGCACTCCCACACGCTGCCATGCGAGCCGTGGCCGATCACTCGCAAGCGCCGGTAGCGGCCGCCAATCAGAGCGTTGCTGCTTTCGGAGTCGCTGCTTCCATTGGCTGTGGCATAATCGCCGGAGGGCGGTAGAGGGAATGCACGTTCGCTTTTTCCGCGAAGACGCACGTCGAACATCGCATGAAGTGGCGGACAACCGGAAAGCAGTCGTGTAAACCGGTTGAAATACAATGGAGCGGTGTGAGAGTCGGTTGCAGAAAAAACTCGCAGTAGACAAAAAAAAAGGCCGTCACCCGCAAATACTAGAGTCTGGAATAAACTCCGGAAATGGAAGAGATCGAGAGCGAGGGCGAGTGGCAGACGAGCGAGTGGAGAGGTCTCGTACCGCCAGACCCACTCGAGTCGATCGTTTCTAGCTCTACGTTCGATCGGTCCTGCGTCTCCAAGTGTTTTTGAGACTTCTAAGAAACGGAAAATCGAGCGGTGCGACCTTTGCTGAAATCTGTATGTCCGTCGAGCTGTTTCTACACGGTTGGGCAATCAGACAAGTATTTCTCTCTCTTTCCGCTCTCATGGCTTCACGAAAATCCTGGCGCGCCGCTTTCCAATTCAGAAGAAGAAGCGGTGGTCAGACGGAATACAGCTTGCCGTAAGGTTGACGTGACGTGAATCATTCTCTCCGTGACCTGAGTAGGCGTGCTCCAGCAGCAGCTGAGGATGATGTTGGTTGATGTGTACTGACAATCCGCTGTGATAGTTTTGTCGAGGCCCGAAATTGCGTGAGAGCAAAAATCAGTTGAGCTTGGTGAGGTGAAACGTGTGTCTGGAGAACAGGGTCGTTGTGATGCGTCTCGTGATGGTGTGGTGATACACCTGTTCTCCGATATTTCCACACCCTGAACTTTGATTCTACTCAGACACCCTACATGGTTGAAGGTTTGATGAGACGGACGCCCTGACATTGCGGGTCTATCAGGAAATATCCACCAGGTCAAGGCCTTTCCAAACTCGAACTTTGTAGTTCGAGTGAGCGGGGAAAATTCCAGTGCCAGATTGTTCCTGCGGTAACCTCGCATTGAGATTGTGTTTCATTAACCTTGAAAATTCTTCGAGCGTTGCTAACTACCTTCGAAATCGGTTCTTTCGAGGGTAGGTACCCCAGGTCGTTAAGATAAAGGGTGTGAAATTATCGCGGAACATGTGTAGCTAGCGAAGCGAGGTTCGAGGTTTTGATGTATTACAGTAGCCAGGTATAGTCCAGCGCTGCCTAGCGGTGCAAAACGGTGGAGAGGCTTTGCTACTTGCATTCGGACTACAGTGCAAGGGTGACTGCTGGTTGTGTGGCACGGGCGGCTGATTTACTCATTTCGCATTGGCGCTGAGCTGGAAGAGCCGCCAGGGCTGCGCAGTTCCGCGCAGGTTTGACGTGGCCGTGACGAAGGAAGGCGGCCATGGGGGTGGCATTCCCGACAGGCAGGCAGGCCATCTCCCCTCCCGCCGCAAGCGACAGCAAAGCTTGCCGCGGAGCGGAACTGATTCTGCGCGTAGCCCTTGAGGCGTCGCGCGCACTCCGCACCGCAGACCTGGGCAAAAATGTCTCGACAGGTTGGGTCTGGTTGGTTTGGTTGTGCCAAGCGTGAATGCAGGCGAGTTTGGCTTGGTGCACACGCACATTGACAAGAGGCGTGGCGGCGCACCGCGCGATGATTGCGCAAGCAATTCGGGGATTTGGTCCGGTTTTGGGGCGCTCCAGCCTGGAGCCGCCCCTCTCTGGGCCAAGCTCCCCTTTAGGTTTGGAAAATCGTCCAGGTTTCTGGCTTGTTCGTGTACAGTTCTGCATTGTCGAGCCAGCACAGCAGTCGCAGCGCTGCACGGCACCAAACGTGTGGATGGTGGGGATTTGCAGGAGGAAGCAATTTCGGCAAGAGCAGCTGCCTTGAAATCAAGCACAGTAACGACCAGCCCAAAAATATCTAAGCTGTCACTCAGAATGTGTGTACAGAAATGCTTAACCATCCAGTCCACAAATCCACACTTGAATGAACCAGAGTAGGAAATCCTTGAATGGCTGTCAGCTCAAAGAATGTGGAGTGAAAATAAAAGAGGGCACATCAGTGGAACACCCTGGGTCGCATGTTGCCCGTCGTGACCTCATGTTCATTCATCGGTTTCGCACGAGAAATCACAGCATCTGCCACACCAATAAGATCACGTCCACTCATCTGGCCCACTACCTGCTGCATCATTTACTACAGGCAGAGAGTTTCCCAGGCAGATTGAACCTGGAAAACGATCAGAAGATCGTTGAATCATACCAAAGCCGAGATTCTATTTGAGCAACAACCTGGCAGTGAAACGTAAAATTTTGGAAGTGGTTGGTGGAAGCTCATGTCGTGACATGATTTTGGCGGGATACACCACTTCCAGAACTCAATACAAGTGTCTTTAAAAGCGTGTACAAATCGATGACCGCTTCCAAGGAGACATAGAAACCAGACCTTTGTTATCCATGGCTTTAGTTTTGTCTCTGTTGAAACTCACTTGGGTTGAATTGCTAGAAGTATTGCAGAAACCTTTCTAGGATTAGTTTGCATGAGGCATCCTTCTGGAGGCATACTGCAACCGCAGAAAGGGGAAAAAAAAAAAGGGAGATAACTTGCACTAAGAGGAAATCACGAATGACAATATATGCAATATTGGCTGTACTGACCTTGTTGCTCGAAATGGGCAGAGATCATTCAAGTGTATCTTCTCTGTTTGCGGTGCCAACGATCGTGCCGATGCATGGATGTGCGATACACCTGATTGCGTGACAATACTTGCTGCATTCTCTGGACTTACTCCACCTGAAACATAGGATACAGAGACGTGTCATGTAATGCCCTGTTAAAGGATTTTTAGATAAAAAATAATAATTGGACGCCCTGACAGCTGGCTGTGTTATTTCTGGATGTGGGGCCTTTTGTAACCATGAGCATCCTTACCTCGTTGATATTCACCTCCTCACCAGCCCTCCCAATCATTCCCTTCCCCCTGCCATGACTTGGACCCTTCCTCTTGCTTCTGTCATCAGCCTCTCTATCAGTCCCACCCCCTCCTCTGCTCTAGCCTGCAAAAACCAGTCACCCCAGCCCGTTTACTCGTCTCCCCCCCTCCCACGAAGCCCTCACCTCCACCCATGCCTTGGATCCTTCCTCTTGCGTCTGTCACCAGCCTCCCAACCAGCCCCATGCCCTCGTCTTTTGTTGAGGAGCCTCAGAAATACCCTCCCTCCTCACCACCCCACTCTACTTGTCTCCTTCCTGACCACTTACCTCCAACCATGCCTTGGATCCTTCCTTGTGCTTCTGCCACCAGCCTCCCTGTCAGCTTCACTCCTTCCTCTGCTGCCGCCCGCTGCCAGGCAAGAATCCTTCAACCTGCCTCTGGATTCACCCCCCCCCCCCCCCCCCCCTCCACAAAAACCTTACCTCCAGCCATGATCTGGATCGTTCCTTGTGCTTCCGCCACCAGCCTCCCTGTCAGCCCCATGCCCTCCCTGTCAGCCCCATGTCTGCTGTCGTGCACTGTTCAGAAGCAACCCTACCACCCCACTCTACTTGTCCTGTTCCTGACCACTTACCTCCAGCCATGCCTTGGATCCTTCCTCTTGCTTCCTCCGGCCCAAAACCAGACACCCTAGCCCGTCTACTCGTCTACTCGTCTCTCCCCTCCCACGAAGCCCTCACCTCCAGCCATGCCTTGGATCTTTCCTCTTGGTTCTGCCACCAGCTTCCCTATCAGCCCCATGCCCTCCTCTGCTGTCGTGCACTATTCAGAAGCAACCCTACCAACCTGCATCTTCTTGTCTCCTTCCTGACCACTCACCTCCAGCCATGATATGGATTCTTCCTTGTGCTTCCTCCACCAACTTCCTGATCAGCCCCACTCCTTCCTCTGCTGTAGCCCGCTGCCCTGACGTCAGCAGCCTCGTCACTCCACTCGATATAAGAACCTGGTTGAAAGAACACTAGGTATGAGTCAACGGTTCATTCAAAAATACCTTATCAGCTTCACTCCCTTCTCTGCTGTCGCCCGCTAGCCTCACGTCAGCAGCCTCGTCACTCCATTTGATATAAGAACCTGGTTTGAAGAACACAAGGTACAGGTGAAAGGTGTAATGAAGAGAGACTCGCATCCACTCGCATTGACTGGCATTGATCTGAGTTGACTTCATTGACTTGTATTAGCTTGCATTGACTTTGGACTTTCATGCCTTGCATTCCATCCAACTAATTTGAGAGTCGCAAAGCACACATTCTGATTGAAGTGAAATGGTGGAGATGCATTGTCAACTTGCATTGACTTGTGTTGACTGCGCATTGACTTTTGACTTTCATGATTTGCATGCACTAATGCGAGAACCTGAGAGCGCACCAATTGATAGGAGAGAAACCGGGTAGATTGAAGTGAAACTGGAGAGATGTAATGGGCGATGTCAACTGGGGAATTTTTTGATAATTCTAAAAAACACCCTGAAACTGGGGAGATGTAATGGGCGATGTCAACTGGGGAATTTTTTGAGAATTCTAAAAAACACCCTGAAACTGGGGAGATGTAATGGGCGATGTCAACTGGGGAATTTTTTGAGAATTCTAAAAAACACCCTGAAACTGGGGAGATGTAATGGGCGATGACAACTGGGGAAAGGTCAACTTATGATCCCTCCTGCAACGCACCCAGGCGGTCCCATGGTATAGCCTACAAAATTAACTCACCTGCTAAGCACCCACAGGGTCTCACGTGTGGTCAAAGGTCCAGTGGAAGGTGATTTGCATGGCTTGCAGTGAAAGGAAGGAGTGAAGCCTAAGAGAAAGAAACTCTTTTGCAGAGCACCCACGGGGTCTCACGTGTGGTCAGATGTCCGGTGGAAGGTGGCAGTGAATGAACGGCCGCATATGTGAGGGAGTAGAGATGGGACAGAGAGTGGGTGGACCGGCAGCTCACCTGCAGCGCACCCATGGGGTCTCTCGTGTGGTCAAAGGCGCGGTGGAAGGTGACTGGCAGTGAATGGCAGTCAGCACATGGGAGGGAGGGGAGACGGGTCAGAGAGTGGGTCGACTGGCAACTCACCTGCAGTGCACCGATGGGGTCCCTCGTGTGGTCAAATGCGTGGTGGAAAGTGGCTGGCAGTGAATGGCGGGGCACGAAAGACCATAGGATATCTGTGACCTTTTGTATTGGTTGAGTGAGAACTCACCTGCAGTGCAGCCATAGGATCTCTTGTGTGGTCAAAAGCGCGGTGGAAGGTGACTGGCAGTGAATGGCAGGCCGCACTTGCGAGGAAGCGGTGAAGCTGAAGAGGGAGATGGGGGGGAGGGGAAGGGAAGGCAGTGTGGAGAGGTGTGGACGAGAGAGAGTAGGACTAACAGGTGTGTTCAAAGGCCCGGTGGAAGGTGACTGGCAGTGAGTGGCAGGCTGCACTTGAGAGGAAACGGTGAAGCTGAGGAGGGGAGAGGGGGAGGGGAAGGGTGAGAGCAGGGAAGAGAGATGATGGGAGGTGACTGGCAGTGAGTGGAGGGCTGCACTTGCGAGGAAGCGGTGAAGCTGAGGAGGGGAGAGACGGGGAAGGGAGGGATGCAGAGAGTGGGTAGAGGTTAGTGGGCGATGGGGGAAGGGAGGGAAGGAAAGGCACGGTGGAAGGTGACTTGCAGTGAGTGGAGGGCAGCACATGGTGAGGAAGCAGTGGAGCTGAGGAGGAGAGAGACGCGGAAGGGAGGAAAAGTTAAAAGCACTGGCTGGGGGTAACGGATGGATTGGGATGGGGAGAGAGCAAGGGATGTTCAGTGATTCGGTAGTGGGTTGAGGACAGATGGGGGAAGGAAGGAGAAGAGTTCCCAGGTGCGGTTAAACGGACCCATTTTTTAGTCTACTAAAAAATGGGATGGGGAGAGGGAGGGAGGTTCAATGAAGCGTGACCAAGCGTGACCAAGCGTGACCAAGTGTGACCAAGCGGGACCAAGCGTGACCAAGCGTGACCAAGCGTGACCAAGTGTGACCAAGTGTGACCAAGCGTGACCAAGCGTGACCAAGCGTGACCAAGTGTGACCAAGCGTGACCAAGCGTGACCAAGCGTGACCAAGTGTGACAAAGCGTGACCAAGTGTGACAAAACGTGACCAAGCGTGACCAAGTGTGACCAAGCGTGACCAAGTGTGACCAAGCGTGCCCAAGTGCGACAAAGCGTGACCGAGTGTGACCAAGTGTGACCAAGCGTGACCAAGCGTGACCAAGTGTGACCAAGCGTGACCAAGCGTGACCAAGCGTGACCAAGCGTGACCAAGCGGGACCAAGCGTGACCAAGCATAACCAAGCATGCCCTAGTGTGACCAAGCGTGACCAAGTGTGACCAAGTGTGACCAAGTGTGACAAAACGTGACCAAGCGTGACCAAGTGTGACCAAGCGTGACCAAGTGTGACCAAGCGTGCCCAAGTGCGACAAAGCGTGACCAAGTGTGACCAAGCGTGACCAAGCGGGACCAAGCGTGACCAAGCGTGACCAAGCGTGACCAAGCATAACCAAGCATGCCCTAGTGTGACCAAGCGTGACCAAGTGTGACCAAGTGTGACCAAGCATGACCAAGCGTGACCAAGCGTGACCAAGTGTGACCAAGCGTGACCAAGCGTGACCAAGCGTGACCAAGTGTGACAAAGCGTGACCAAGTGTGACAAAACGTGACCAAGCGTGACCAAGTGTGACCAAGCGTGACCAAGTGTGACAAAGCGTGCCCAAGTGCGACAAAGCGTGACCGAGTGTGACCAAGTGTGACCAAGCGTGACCATGTGTGACCAAGCGTGACCAAGCGTGACCAAGCGAGACCAAGCGTGACTAAGCGTGACCAAGAGTGACCAAGCGTGACCAAGCGTGACCAAGCGTGACCAAGCGTGACCAAGCGTGAACAAGCGTGACCAAGGGTGACCAAGCGTGACCAAGGGTGATCAAGCGTGCCCAAGTGTGACCAAGCGTGACCAAGCATGACCAAGCGTGACCAAGCGTGCCCAAGTGTGACCAAGCGTGACCAAGCATGACCAAGCGTGACCAAGCGTGACCAAGTGTGACCAAGCGTGACCAAGCGTGACCAAGCGTGACCAAGCGTGACCAAGCGTGACCAAGCGTAACCAAGTGTGACCAAGCATGACTAAGCGTGACCAAGCGTGACCAAGCGTAACCAAGCGTGACCAAGTGTGACCAAGTGTGACCAAGCGTGACCAAGCGTGACCAAGTGATGAGGTTCTATCGACCTCCAGCTGAGGTTCTATCGACTCCCTCGAGGTGATGAGGTTCGTTCGACCTTGCAGTGGTACGACGGAGATCCGGTCCGGCGAGAACTTGAGGTAGCCATACGCTAGTGCAATGCCGCCCGCCGTCACATGCGTCGTCGCCGAGAGCCCTCCACCGTTTCGTAGAGGAGATCGACGTTGACCATCGACGTCGGCACATGAGATGTCTGCAGCCGCCGTCGACTGCTGCACTCGCGCCTGACTCCTGTCGATGCCACCGTCGACCTTGATCACCCCTCGATGCTTTGTGTCGTCGTTGCCGCTGACTCGTGCACCACCGTCGACCTCGTCGTCAACGCCTCCTTCGTTTCGTACCGGACGAGGTGATGCAGGACGGGAAGGATGCTCCGTCGCCCACTGCGCCCGGATGCCAAACTAGACAATCGCCAAAGGGACCTTCCTGTAGTCGCCATCCTCAATGCGTTTCCGCGCATCAGCAAAACGTGTCTCCAAGGTGTCCTCTACCGCGCCGGCCGTTGGCAGGGTAGGCATCATGTTTGCACGTGCTGCCGGCCTACGAACGACTTAGTAGGTGCAAAAGTCGGCTCTTATCTCAAAGTAATTTGCGGGGCCGTCCACGCTCACCGCACCATGCGGAGAATCACTCTACAAAGTAGTGAGCTACACCACGGGGGGGAAAGGGGGGGGTGGCACGAACTACTAGGAGTGATCGTAGTTTTGATTAGTTTCCTTAGTGCTTGCACGTTCACAGGAGAAATCGGTCAGAGTTTCCACCAGGCAAAGGTTGCATTACAAAATGATTGAACAAGCAATAACAAAAAATGACTACATCAGGCACCTAAAAACTCTGTAGCTAGCCTGGTTGACCGCCAGCACAACTTGGTCGACCGCCTGCCATCGTTGCGCAGAGGAGCCGCGCCAGCACTGCAGAAAGGCGACCTGCCAACACTGCAGGTCGACGGCGTGCCAACGCTGCGGCAGAGCGGCTGTCCGGCGTTGCACCTGTGGATAAGAAAGTGCGCATGCTCGTAGTTGCGCGCAGACGATTGGTCCGACTTGCATCGTTGTGTATCCGTCGGCTGTAGTCTGCGCCTGACGAGCCACATCGACTTCGAGATACCAGCCCGAAGTCGACTTCGTCACCGCGACCTCGACGACGTTCGCGTGCCTCCGCAGAACTCGCCGAGCAGGTTTCCTGGTCGACCTGGACACCACCAGATGCACAGATCGACCACCAGGTGCCTCTGGTCGACCACCAAGTGCTCTGGTCGACCACAGTTCCCATCGAGCAACACCATGGTCGACGGTCCCCTCCGTCGACTAGCACTGTCAGCTGTTGTCGCCGAGCTCCCCTCGTCGACCGCTGCTCACATGTCAGGTCGACGGACTACTCCGTCGACCTCCCCGTCGAACTGCTCCTCCTGGTCGACGGCCCACCTGTCGACCAGCCCAGTCAATTGCAGCTGTCGAGCTCCCTGGTCGAAGGCTCCAGCACCGTGACAGGCCTGTGCAGGTCGACGACCACTTCATCCTCCTGCCCCGCAGAAGAAGGCCGTCAAGCACCCCTGGTCGACATTAAGACCACAGTTATCCCTGCAGCTCGAAGAAACCCGTCGGGCAGCTCCCTCACTGCGAACAGTCGACTACTTCTCCCATACATGCGACCAAGTCGTAGGCGTTGCCCAAGCGACGGCGGGGCCTGTTGGCCACGCTTGGCCAAGTGTGACCAAGCCCGACCAAGTGTGACCAAGTGTGACCAAGCGTGACCAAGCGTGACCAAGCGTGACCAAGCGTGACCAAGCGTGACCAAGCGTGACCAAACGTGATCAAGCGTGACCATGTGTGACCAACTGTAACCAAGCATGCCCAAGCGTGAACAAGTGTGACCAAGCGGGACCAAATGTGACTAAGTGTGACCGACCAATTGTGACCAAGTGTGACCAAGCGTGACCAAGTGTGACCAAGTGTAACCAGGCGTGCCCAAGTGTGACCAATCATGACCAAGTGTGACCAAGTGTGACTAAGCGTGACCAAGTGTGACCAAGAGTGCCCAAGTGTAACCAAGTTTGACCAAGTGTGACCAAGCATGCCCAAGTGTGACGAAGAGTGACCAAGTGTGACCAAGTATGACCAAGTCCCAAGTGTGACTAAGCGTGCCCAATTGTGACCAAACGTGCTCAAGTGTGACCAAGCGTGACCAAGCGTGACCAAGAGTGACCAAGTGTGACCAAGCGTGACCAAGGGTGACCAAGCGTGACCAAGCGTGACCAAGCGTGACCAAGCGTGACCAAGCGTGATCAAGCGTGACCAAGTGTGACCAAGTGTGACCAAGTGTGACCAAGTGTGACCAAGCGTGACCAAGCGTGACCAAGTGTGACAAAGCGTGCCCAAGTGTGACCAAGCGTGTCCAAGCGTGACCAAGTGTGACCAAGCGTGAACAAGTGTGACCAAGCGTGACCAAGTGTGACCAAGCGTGTCCAAGCGCGACCAAGCGTGATCAAGCGTGAGCAAGTGTGACCAAGCGTGACCAAGTGTGACCAAGTGTGACCAAGTGTGACCAAGTGTGACCAAGCGTGATCAAGTGTGACCAAGCGTGATCAAGTGTGACCAAGCGTGACCCAGCGTGACCAAGCGTGACCACGAGTGACCAAGCGTGCCCTAGTGTGACCAAACGTGACCAAGGGTGACCAAGCGTAACCAAGTGTAACTAAGCGTACCCAAATGTGACAAAGCGTGCCCAAATGTGACCAAGCGTGACCAAGCGTGACCAAGTGTGACCAAGCGTGACCAAGCGTGTCCAAGCGCGACCAAGCGTGACCAAGCGTGACCAAGCGTGACAAGCGTGACCATGTGCGATCAAGTGTGACCAAGCGTGACCAAGTGTGACTAAGCGTGACCGACCAATCGTGACCAAGCGTGACCAAGCGTGACCAAGCGTGACCAAGTGTGACCAAGCTATACCAAGTGTGACCAAGCGTGACCATGTGTGACCAAGTGTGACCAAGCGTGACCAAGTGTGATTAAGCGTGACCGACCAATCGTGACCAAGTGTGACCAAGCGTGACCAGGTGTGCCCAAGTGTGACCAAGCGTGACCAAGCGTGACCAAGCGTGACCATGTGTGACCAAGTGTGACCAAGCGTGACCAAGTATGACCAAGCGTGACCAAGCGTGACCAAGTGTGATTAAGCGTGACTGACCAATCGTGACCAAGTGTGACCAAGCGTGACCAAGTGTGCCCAAGTGTGACCAAGCGTGACCAAGTGTGACCAAGCGTGACCATGTGTGACCAAGTGTGACCAAGCGTGACCATGTGTGACTAAGCGTGACCGACCAATCGTGACCAAGCGTGACCAAGCTATACCAAGTGTGACCAAGCGTGCCCAAGTATGACCAAGCATGAACAACTGTGACCAAGCGTGCCCAAGTGTGA